CTATAAACTAATAAATAAAAAAATATTATTTTAAATAATTAATTTAATTAATATTCTTAAATTAATCAGATCTAATTATTTATTATTAATAAAAATATATAAAAGCTGATAAATCTAGATTTATTAATTAAATCTATTTATTTTAAAAAAATCTATTTTATTTTTAATTTAGTAATTATTTAATATACTATTTTTATTTTATATTTTAGTAAATCTAACTATTTATTATATTAAAAAATTAAATAGAATTATTACTACTAATTTAAAAAACAAATATAACTATTATAAAATCAGTTTTATTAAATTAATTAATTAATTTTATATTAAATAGATAAAATTAATATATTATATTTAATAAAAAAAGGCTTTATTTAATTCTAAAAATCTTAAAGATTAGAATTATTTTTATTAATTAGTTTTAAATAAAAAAATTTATTAATAAATATACCAAACTCCGGTTGGAAATAAAAGATTCTATTAAAAATTATATAAATTATTAGAAATTAATCTATTTAAAAACAGTAAAATTAAAATTTAATAAAATATTTAATCTAATTCAAATAATATATAACTTTTTAAATTAATTTAAAAAATAATAAAAAATTTTATAATACTATAGCAGATCAGATTAATTATAAAATAAAAAAATTCTCTAAATTTTTTAAAATTATTTGCTGAATATATAATTAGATTTATTTAAATTTTTAAATTAAATAATTTATTAAATCAACAGACCGAATTAGCCAGGCTATCTTCTAAAACTAATCTAATAAATTAAAATAAATTTTTTAAAAAAATAAATTAATAAATAAAAATTATAGAAATAAAGATCGATCTTATTTATATAATTTAAAAAAATAATAAATTTTATAATTTTAATAACTGTTTTTATATTAATAAGAATCTTTGAAATTTTTATTAAAAAGTTTGAAGAGAAAGTTCTAAACTATTTTAAAAATATTTTTAAAAATAATTTAAAATTAAAATATTTATTTAATTAATACAGTTAAATTTATTAAATATTTTTTTTATTTAATAATAAATCAACTAATTAATTAAAAGTTATCTTAATAATTAATAAATAAACTTTTTATTTAAAAAAATTAATTAATATATTATTTATTTTAGTAGGCTTTTAATACTGCTTCTAATAATTATATCTATAATTTATTAAATTCTTTTATTAAATTTACTTTTATTAAAAAAATAATAAAGATTAATAATATTTAATTAATAATATAAAAGTATAAAACAGTTATTTTCCGTTCTACTTATTTAAAAAGAAAAAATCTATATTTTAAATTTAAAAAATAGTTTATATATTAAAATTTTATATAAATATTCTTTCAGCGTTCATTACAATTAGAAAAAAATTATTTTTAAATAAAAAAAATAAATATTTAAAAAAAGCTAATAGTACGCTAGTTTATTAAATTAAGAATATTAATAGATTATTTTAAATTTAATAAAAATAATTATTTAATTTAATAATAATTATTATTATTAATAAAAGACTAATTAAATTATTAAAATATTTATATATAATCTTTAGAACAGTTAAAAAATAATATAATAAATTAAAATATTTAAATTAGAAAGCTTTAAATTATTTTAATAAATTAATTTTAAAAATTAATATTACTAATTCTTTTTTAGAACTAGCTTTAATTAAAAAATATTCTATTTATAAAATCAGCTAATTAGAAAAATAGATTTTAAAATAAAGATTTAATAAAAAATCTAAATATTTAAATTAATTTATTAGAATTTGATTTGTTTAATAAATAAAATTAATAAAAAGAAATATATTAGTTATTTTTTTATTATTTTTATTTAAAATTTTATTTAAAACAAGTCCTAACTTTCAAATCAGATATATTAAAATTAATAATTAATATAATTTAATTAATTATTAATTAATATAAAATAATATTTAAAAATTTTTATTCTAACCAGAACTAAAATCTTAGTATTCTCTTAATTTAAATTAATATTAAAATTTTAATTATTAATTATTTATCAGTTTAATAATTAAAATAGAATCTATATATATAAAGATCCGGAGTTCTAATTACTTTTAAAATAAAAAATTTATTAATTAATTTAAAATTATTTTTATTTATTTAGTCTAAAATAATAAATTTAGTTATTTTTATTTTAAATAGAATACTAAATAAATAATTTAATTAGAAAACATTATATAAAACTGTCTGGAGAAGCCTTTTATAAAAAATCTTTTATAATTATTTAAAAAAATTTAATCTTTTTTTATTTAAAAAAATAAATTAAAATTTAAATTTTTAATTAATTATTTAATAGACTAACTATCAAGCCTCTAATATTTAAAGAATCTGAATATCTAATTTTAAACACAAATTTCTATTTAAAATATTATTTTTTAATAAAAAATTTGAATTATAAATAATATACCGAATTAGAAAATCTATTAATATATTAATAAATAACTAAATTAATTAATTTTATTTAGTTAAAATAATCAGATATTCTAATTTCTAAAAAAATCTATATTAAAAATCTAATTTAGATAAAGAATTTTTAGATTTAGAAATATTAAAATAAATGTCCGAACCGGAATTATAATAATTAAATAATTAATTAAAATTATTATTTAATTAATTAATTTTAAATAATACTATTTTTAATAATATATTATTAATTTTATTAGATTTACTGTCTTCTTTATCGCCTTAGATTATAATTTTTATTAATAATTTAATAAAAAATATTAATAAACTAATTAATAAAATAGAATATCTAAATATTAAACCAATTAGAAATCTGAAATAAAACTAATTATTATTATTTAATTAAAACTTTAAAAAGACTAAACTTACTCTTTAAATAATTTAAATAATAATTAATTATATTAATAAAAATAAAATATTTTATATTAATTAAAACAGTTTCCATCTTTATCTACTAATTAAAAAAAATAAAAAATTATATATATAATAATTAGTTTATTTAAATATTTAAAATTAAGATTAATCAGTTAAAGAAAGACTTTAGAAATATAAACTGTTTATTTAATTAATATAATTAATAAAACTAAAATATTACTATTAAAATAAATCTAATTATATAAATATAATAAAACTAATTATCTAACCGGATTTAAGATTTAAATATATATTTAAGATAATTTATAGATATTATTAATTAAAAATATATATTAATATACTTACAGCTAGATTTATAAAAGAATTTTTAATTTTAATTATTATATTTAATTTTAAAATTAATTAATTAGATGCTGTTACTGCTTTTTTTAATAGTTTTATTAAAAAAAGAATTTATATAGATTAAATTTTTAAATTAAAAAATAAATAAACAGTCTTTCTATTACAGAAAGTTTTATATAAATTTAAATATTTACTATTTTTTTTAAAATATTCTAAAATAAAAATTAATAGTCCTAATATTTAGACCTATTCAGAAAGATTAATATATATTTATTAATAAATTTATTTTTTTTAATAATTTTTATAAATAATATGATTTATAAATTCTATAGATTAATTTAAAAGAAATTTAATAAATTTAAATAAGAATTAATAATATTATTTAAAATAAAGGATTTTAGTGAAGCCTATTTATTTCTAAATATTTAAATCTTATATAATTACTAAAACCGGAAATTATAGATTAAATAATTAATTTATATTAATAAAATTATTAATAAATTTAATTTAGAACTTCGGAAAAGCTTTAAATTCTTACTTTTATATAAAAAATTAATTTAAAATCTATTTTATTAAACTACAGTTAATTAAATTTATAAATTTTAATAAAAAGTAGAATCAGCTCTATATTTTATAATCTAAATTAGATTTAATATAGTCTAATCTTATTAATTAATTTTAGAATATTTAATTAATTTAAATTCTAAATATTTCAGAACTGTAAATTATCTTATTTTTTATTTAAAAAAAATAAAAAATCTAATTATTAAATTTAGTTCTAATTCTATAATTTTTTATATAATAAGTAATACTAGTTTTGCTAATTATTCAGATTATATTAGTTTAATAAAATATATTATTTATTTATTAAATAAATCTATTAATTAGCTAAATAAAAAATAATATTATATAATTTTTTAATTATTAAAATTAAATTATTAATTCTAACTACTGCAGCTAAGCAGCTTTTTCTGAAAGAAATAATTTTTTTAATAAATAGAATTTAATTTTAAATATTATTTTTTTATATTATATAATAATTATTAAATAGTAAAAATCTTAATTAATTCTATCTTTTCTTTTCGGACTAGTCTGAAATATATTAATATAGCTAATTACTAGTTTAAATAAAAAATTCTTAATAAATCTATTAATATTTAATAAATTCTAATTATTAAAATAAAAGCAGATAATCTGACTAAGCACCTTTAAAATTAGAAATATATTAAATTTATTAAGTAATTTAATATAGTTATTTATTAATTTATTAATATTAACCAGATTATTATTACTTTTATTTATTTTTTTTCTATTTTAATATTTTATTTATCTTAATTTTATTAATTTTTCAAATCTTATTTAAATTATAAAAATATATTAATTATATAATCAGTTAATAGTCTCAGACTTATTAGTTTACTATTTTAAATTTTTTAATTTATTATCTTAGATTAGCCAGTTCGCAGAGTAAATTTCTAAGTTTTAGTAATTTTTTAATAGAAAAAATAGTCTGGAACAATCTTCTTCTATTTATTCTATTATTTCTATTTAATAAGAATTTATTTATTTATTTATTTTTATATATTTTTTATATAATTGCGGAAAGCCTTAGAAAATTAATATAACTATTCAGTTATAAATAAAAGATTAATTTCTATTATTTTTTTAGTTAATTAAATAAGTAGTTTTAGTTCAGTTTCAGTTAAATTTATTTAATTTATTCAGTTCAATTAGTTTAATTAGCTACTTATTTAAAAAATTAATTTTATCTATCTTTTACTTTACTTTTACTTTCACTTTACCCCTTACTTAAATTTTGTATGGAATCCCATATAAAGTTTGAGTGAAAAGTAAGGTTTTATTAAAGTGGAAGTAAAGGTATTTAGAATTCTTCTTATAATCTAATTAAGTAATTTAAGAATTAGAAATATATTAAATTTATTAAATAGTTTAATATAATTATTTATTAATTTATTAATATTAATCAGATTGTTATTACTTTTTTTATTTTTTTTATTTTAGTACTTTATTTATTTTAATTCTATTAATTTTTTAAATCTTATTCAAACTGCAGGGGTATATTAATTATATAGTTAGTTAATAATTTTAGACTTTTTAATTTATTAATCTAGATTAGTCAGTTTGCTGCTTTAGATTAATCAGTTTATAAAATAGATTTCTGAGTTTCAGTAATTTTTTAATAAAGAAAATAGTCTGAAACAATCTTCTTCTATTTATTTTATTATTTCTGTTTAATAGAAATTTATTTATTTTTTACTTTTATTATACTTTTATATAATTGCGGAAAATCCTAGAAAATTGATATAGCTATTCAGTTATAAATAAGAGATTAATTCTTATTATTTTTTAATTAGTTGAGTAAGCAGTTTCAGTTTAATTTATCTAATTTTTTATAACAATAAGAATCAGTATATATCAATAATTCTAACACGTTTATAGCTTTATAAATTTAATATGTAGCTTGATTAGAAAGGCGGTGTTAGGTAGAAGACTTACTGCTTAAAAAATTCAAATCCCTGCACCTCTCCACCGTACTAACAAAATCAGCAGGCTCAACCAGATTAGAACTCCTGTAGGTGTCAATAGTCATCAAGCCAATATGTTTATAAGGGGTGAAACCATGTGACGGACCATCAGATAGGGGCAGAGCTGCAGCCAGCAGAACTACTAACTTCTTCGGGTGCTTCTTCATCCCCTCGGGCTCCAGGCTGACCTCTCTCGAAGAGCACAATTTGCATCAGTTCTGTTTTGGAGATTTGTCTTAAAGAGCTACACAGACTCAAGGCCCCACGGTAGCCTCTTAGGTCAACCATCTCTTCAACTAAGCCTATATTCTTTTGTTCATGACTCGATACAGGGAGTTCCAAATGGCCATGAATAATGGCATCACTTATATCTGAGCCTCATGTTCATCTCTCCACGGACATATTTTGCTTCGCAAACACCAGATCAGGGCCTTATCTGTGCTGAATATACGGGTGATATTAAGTTCAATACACTTCAAGGGTGGCTTCCTGCCAGCCGCATTCATAATAGCCCGGCTGAAATGCTTTTGATTCACCAGGCAGGCAGTGTTCGCGTGGGCGAGGTGGTCCGGTTTGTCATATTCGTCTCAGGTTCCATCACCCCTTGCACTAATTGACTCCCCTCCCACCAGATACACGTTAACTTACACACCCGCGGCGGATAATATCCGCCCACCGCCGAGGAAATTATACGTGAAGGTCAAGAATACGACCCCCATTCCCTTACGAGCCGCGTATCTTCACGGCCCATACTCACTCTACGCCTCATGCTACCCATCCACATTCGACCCCAATGCCAAATCTGTTCATCATAACCTTGAAGCAATCCCGCAGTACGAGCCCTACCTCAAAGCAGGTGGTACTTGGTATGCGACGGTAACCCTTCCGCACCATGCGCAGCAACTTCAAGAGCAATCTAGCGAAGCAGAGGAGATGAACGATGGTGGCACTTCTACCTGGATCATTGAAATTGTCTCACAGGTGGTATTTTCCAACACCGCATCCGTCAGCTTCGAGCTCTTAGTCGGTCGCGATGAAGCGTCAGTGGATAGCATGTCCCTGGTCGGTACATCAAAGCCAGCTCAATTGAAAGATCATTGGTCGCCTGAGTTTAGGGGTAAGCAGGTGTTAGCGGAGAGGGGAGTTCATTCTCGAGCGGTTACTCTACAAGTGGATGATACGGCCAGTCTTTGGAACACACCACAGCTACCCTCAGTTGGCCACGAAAAAGGAAGAGAGGAGAAAGATGAGTTTGTTGGAGATGCGGTTGCCGCGGACTCGGTGGCATCAAATTCGCCTGCTGAAACACCTACAGTTTCTGCTGACGAGAAGCGTCAGAAACGGATACATCTTGTTGTGTTGACCCATGGATTACACAGCAATTTAGGAGCAGATATGCTTTTCCTCAAAGAGAGTATCGATGCTGCCATCAAGGCCAACAAGCAGAAAGCAAACAATAGTTCTTCGAGTCGTAGCGCAAGCCAGCCCACAGGACTATCCTCTTCAGACCTGTAAGTAATTTCCCTCTATTGGAGGCGTTCTGCGTGATTTTTGCCTTTAGAAAGTGTCTTTTCTTCCCCTATTTCTTCGTGCCATTGCTAGGACTAGTGGTCTGACCGATAATAGTAGGCATGCTGGAAGCGACGAAGATGAACAAGTTATAGTAAGAGGATTTGCTGGGAACGCAGTGCGTACGGAACGAGGTATACAATACCTTGGTAAGCGTCTTGCGAAGTACATCCTTCAGATGGCGCATCTGGATATCCCCAGTCGTGCAACGAAGACGACATCTCACACTGGGCTGTTCTCTAATCGGAAACGGCCCATTGGCCCAGTTTCAGAACTTCCTTGGCATTGCTGCAGCAGGTCAGAGCAGTCAGTCTGCGAAGCTTGCGCTTATCAGATAACCAGTATCAGCTTCATAGGACACTCGCTAGGGGGCCTCGTTCAAACCTATGCCATTGCGTATATTCACAAGCACTTCCCCGCATTCTTCGACGAAGTTAGACCAGTTAACTTTGTTTCTCTAGCGACGCCTTTCCTTGGTCTCAGCAATGAAAATCCAATCTATGTTCGGTTCGCCTTGGATTTGGGTCTTGTCGGTCGCACTGGGCAAGACCTTGGTCTTAGCTGGACAGCACCTAGGGTTCGAAGTGGCTGGGAGGCTCTAATTGGTGGAAGAGGAAATGCCAGTCAATCACAGGGATACGCAGACGCTCGGTCTAAACCACTCCTGAGAATTCTTCCCTGTGGGCCTGCGCACGAGGCGCTCTCAAAATTTCAACGTCGCACGCTTTATTCTAACGTGGTGAACGATGGAATAGTACCTTTGCGGACATCCTGCCTTCTGTTTCTCGACTGGAGAGGCCTTGATCGGGTCGAGAAGGCAAGAAGAGAGAATGGCTTGGTGGGCACGATGGCTGAATGGGGGTGGGCAGAGTTGACTGGCGCTAATTCGAAGTCTCCGAAGTCTCCTCGGTCACGCCCCAACGCCAAAGCACTGGCTGCTCTTGGTGACGCTTTTAGTGAAAGCAAGCCGACGTCGCGCGTGCAAGAAGTTTCTTCGTCGGGGATCAATCGCACCATCGCCGAACGCCCTGTATTTACTTCGACCAGTCAGCCTGCAATCGAACGGCCGTTGCCTACTTCTCCTGATGCACTCGCTGATTCCAAGGGAGGAGGGACATTAGTGGAACCGCGTTTGTCTAGCACTTTAGCCAAACTATTTTCATTCATTCGTTCGAAGGAGACTGAGAGCCCGTCTGGCGGGCCAAAGCACACCAAAATATACAAGCGCAGTCAGACCATTGCAACGCCTAATCCAGTTGCACACACTTGTCACTCTTCTAGCTCACATTATCGCGAAACGCTTGTTGGTGGGCAAAACCATGAATATGGGCTTTTTGCCCCCCCCAAGACAACCTTCTTCGAGTCAGCAAGTGATCTCCTCTTGCCTCCTCTTCCTCCTCTTGAATTTATACTCGATCCTACGTCGAGACCCAGAACAATATTTCATGATCGTATATATCATCCCGAAGACATACCGCCACCAATGGTTTCCAAGCGAGGAGCATTTACACTCGCGCCCTCACAGAGAAGGCCAACAAATCATGCACTCAATTCTTCGGAAGACCCTTTCCATGGAGAGCATGGCAACTCTGGCGAGGCCCAAAGCGGCCTTGGGGTCGAGGAGAAGATAGCTAGGGCTTACCACCGAGATTTGTCTTGGCGCAAGGTCCTTGTACGTCTTGAGCCTGATGCACATAACAACATTATTGTACGGAGAATGTTCACAAATGCACACGGGTGGCCGGTCGTACAGCATCTTGTTGAAACCCACTTTGGACATGCGGAACTATCCCAGTCTGGTGAAGTGAACTCCGAGAGTCACCACGACCATGATTGGGACGAAGATCTCACACCTCTGGCTGGATCTCAGACAATGTAACTCGTATCTCACATCCAGTACGAGACCGGACGGTTGAATATTATAGTCTCGTGCTCTGTCATATGCTGGTGAGACCTTGAAAAACGGCCTTGATACTAGGAGGCAGTAACCCTCTCTAATTCTAAAACTTGAACAATATTCTCATGGATGGTGAAAGTGGTGATAGATGATTCTCGGCTCGTTAAAAACCATGCATTTCAATCTAGACACTGCAGTAGTTGTTGAGGAGAATGTGCACTCCAGCCATGACCTATGCACCGCCTTCCTGATTGCTCTTCGGTATGCATCAGCATGGCTTAGGGCGCTCTACCATGGATTCTACTGGCAGACTTAAAGCGTAAATAGTTTGAGCTAGACGATTGAAATTGAACCACCATTAGATGAGGAGGAGGGTGTACGTAGCACGCAGCTCAGTACCCGTGGCCTTGCACCCATGGTCACCTATGGTCTTGCACACCGATAAATACCCAAGACTACTATCTACTGGATGGTAATAAGAAACATCCTCGAATTATGCTATGCCTCACTGACCACCTTCTGATTTACTGTGATGAGTTCAACAGATTGGTCTACAATATGACTGCACTGGCTTCATAAATTCAAGTGAAGAAAGAGCCAATTGACCATGCTGGGCGAGCACCTATCAACGCACGCACTTCGTACCGTACCTTTACATAGCACTACGGAGGTACTGTACAAGCGGGTAGCGAGTGGGGGTGGGGAGGATGGACAAGAAACTGACTGGCGAAGAAGAAAAATTCAACAACAAGCAAAGACAGCAAAGCAGGGCATCCAGGTACGAGGGGCACGGAGACAGAGAGAACATAGCTTCATACAATCTGCTTTCTTGGTCCTTTATATCAATCTCGAGGCATCCAACCATTTCTCACAATGCCCACTGAACTAGAAGAGGTAGGCAAATACTGCACCATATACATCCATGACCTGTGTCCAAGACTCTTAGCGGCTAACGTTCTACTCGCACTTGCACAGCTCGTCGAATTTCTACACCATGGCAATACTCAGATAAGACAAATTGGTATATATGAACCGATATCCCTCGCAGCTACTGAGTCAAGATCTGTTATGCTTCTGTTTTCCCCATTGCGTGCCTACCCTTGTCACGACTACTTGGCTCGACATAATCCTGACATGTGCTTCAATAGCGTGCGAAAACCTTGTTGGTTTCTCAACCGCCCAGCCAGAACTCTTTAAGCGCCAGCAACTCTTGCCGGTGCGGGATCTCAAGCTTCTGGTCCGCGATTATGCAGTCAGTGTCTCTAGCTCACCCTCAATTGTCTACTTGCACTTGCAGAGGATTACTGACGCCGACCCGATGTGATTGTCGAACAAAGCCAATTGCCAAAAATGCCTTGACAATACTCATCAACCTTTCTGCAGATGATGAGGTGCTGACCAATCTTGCGGAAGATGACGCTTTCCTTGAGACTCTTCTTCTGAAAATCACCGTAAGTTTTTAACTAAAATTATTCTCTCGCTACACCGAGGATCCAAATCTAAGCCGTGGGATATGACAGAACATCAAGGAACCTAATGCAGATGACTTTGCCATGCTTTTCGCCAATTTATCGAAATCTAATAAGATGGAAAGGCTGCTTGATCTCAAGCGACAAGCACCAGAGGGCGTCTCTAAGTCATCTAACGCGATGGACCAGCTGATGGACTGCTTTGTGAAGGGAGCTGAGAATGGTCTCAACAAACGTGCAACTTTTGACTACCTGTCTTATCTTTTTGCTGACCTATCCAAATCTGAGGTCGGGCGAGCATATTTCACTTCGCGGCAAGAGTATGATGACGTTGTGCCAGTGACAAAGCTCACCGTGTTCACAGAGCACAAAAGCACCATCCGGAGAAAGGGGGTAGCGTCCACGATAAAGAATGTCGCATTTGACGTCCCCTTTCATCCCACACTCTTGTCCGAGGACGAGGCCAATATCCTTCCCTACATCTTGCTACCGATTACTGGTCCAGAGGAGTATGCTGAGGAGGAAGCATTGGAAATGCTGCCTGATCTTCAGCTGTTGCCTCCTGACAAACAGCGAGATACCGACACCAGCATCATCGTAACACACATCGAGACGCTTTTGTTGCTCACCACAACACGAGAAGGGCGCGACAGGATGAGGGCTGTTCAGGTATATCCAATCATTCGGGAATGTCACCTCCACGTCAATAATGAGGATGTGCGTGATGCCTGTGATCGCCTAGTCCAAGTTTTGATGCGAGATGAAGAAGGCGAGGATAAAACAAGCCAGCTCCTGGCGGAAAACGCAACCGATGCCTTGCCTACAGCCGCCTCAGGCGATGATCAGAATGTTGTGGAGATATTTTAGGTCGATCCGTGTAATTAAGGCTCCCAGAATACCGGAATCGCACGGGATTGGAATTGAAGTGTATTGAGCTTTAATTCTTAGCAAGTATTGTTAGCATAGAAACAATGTTTCCTGGACAATTTATTTACTCCGGTAACACCTAGACATATAGCGGTAAATCTTCATTCCAACCGTATACTGCACATAAGCAACAGAATCTGCCAATGATACAATGTCTCTCGTATGAGGTCTTTGCATGACCTTCCGACCAACAAAGGCCGGCCGCAACAAAGGCACATGCTTACATAATCCATTCCCTGTAACCAACAAGACACCACTGTTCATTCATTCACACCTCTATCTTTCTACCTCATTCTACATTTCATCTCACTCTCTACTCCATTCTAAGGTTCATCTTACTTTATATTCCTCTTGAGATTCGTGCTGGTACATCTGACCCTAGTATCACATTTGAAATCCTTTACTCACCTCCGCATCCAAGCATTATCGATATTGTTGGCTCGATCGCCATCAAGCCTGAACATTAAGCCTGAATATCAAAGCCTGAACACTTGTCACAGGCTATTATGAACCCCCTACCAAATGAAACAGCCTCGCGAGCTCAGACAGGCGCAAATGGACCTCAACCGATGAGGATTCGGCGACCAAAGGTGGCAGACCCTCTTGTACGACCGAAGCGAAGACCGATAGCAAAGCCGTCTACTTTGACATCTGCAAATGGTGGCCTTAAGCTCCCCCCATACAAGCAAGCCACGCCTAGCACTTTGTCGACGGTCAGATCCGAGAAATCAACCAGGGTGAACTCTGGGAATGACTTCTCAGCAAATGGGTTTAGTGGACCTTTGTTAACGGAAACATTTGTTGATTATCCTATCGTGACGACTAAACGAGCGATAAGGGAAGGGCTGAAGCATCACATTGCCAGATTCTCAAGTAAGAAATCGGTCGACCCTCGGGACGAAGCCCAGTTCACTCGACCTGTGAGGCTTCAGCGTCGAGATCCCCGGACACGTTCGCACGAGACTATCACTGAAAAAGGCTTGGGCAACCAGCGCACAGGCTCCGAGTCCGCTAACCATGGTGACGACGCTGACCGCGAGGAGTTGGAGGCTAGAAAGGCTGCCAGAGAGAAAGAACGTGCAGACAATATGGCTCAAATAGCCCCTTCCATGGGCTCGGCGCCGAAAAGAGCAAACGCTCCCAAACAGAAGACGCAGCAAGTCTCTAGGACTGATATGACACCCGAAGAGATTGCCAAAACACGCATTAAGTATGAAGAAGCGTTGCCGTGGCATCTGGAAGATTTCGACAACAAGAATATCTGGGTTGGCAATTATGAAGCTGCTCTTTCTGAAACTCATGCAGTATTTATCATCGAGAATACGGGGCAGATGAGGATGGTTCCTGTAGAGAAATGGTACAGGTTCAGTGCGAAGAACCAATTCAAAGCCCTAACCATCGAGGAAGCAGAAAGGTTCATGGCGAAGAAGGTGAAGGACCCGAGATGGTTCATGGAGAAACAACAAGAAATGGCTCAGCGCAAAGAGCTGGAACAGTTTGCTAAACAGCAAAAAGTTTATGCCGGGAAACAAGGTACTCCCGGCGGCGCCGAAGGGTTGGAAGCGGACGACATGGATTTCGAAGAGGATCGCTTTGCGGATGATGAAGAGCATGACGACCTTTTCAACGAAGATGAGGAAGCAAAGGCAGCTGAAAAGAGAATTAAGCAAGATCAGCTGAAGGCGAATGTCTTCAACCTCAAAGAGGAAAAGGATTACGAGGATGAAGAATTGAGAGAGAAGAAAGAGAAGGAAGCGCGTCGAGTACTCGGCAAAAAGGTACGAAAGGCACTTCAGAAAAGAGAGAAGAATTACGATTATAGTAGTGGCTCGGACATCAATCCATACTCGGACGAAGAGGTAAGACTTCCCAACTATACAGTGTGCTCTTACATTGTGACTAAACCCCTTTAGAGCTCCGATGACAGCGAAGCCGAGCGGATGAAGGAAGAGGAGCGCAAGGCCGAGGAGGAGAAAGACAAGAAAGAGACCCTTTCCAAGGGCAATACCACACCTTCTGGCCGAGCAAAGCACACCGACGCTCTGAAGAAAGTAGCACCCCGAAAACGTCTGGGATCTCCTTCAGATGCAAGTGGCACCGATACTTCTCGCAAGAAGGGAAAGAGCAAGTATTCTTCCCAGGCCTCGCAGCCTACATCTCTTTCCGTGTCTGGAACGTCCTCGGTGGCTCCTGTGAGTGCATGATTGGATCGCTTGAGTAATTTAATCTCTAATGCAAACGCAGGTAAGCAAAAAACGTGTTCGCCATATACAGCTTGGGGGAGCAGGTTCTACAAGCGATTTGGAGGGTGGCGCAGGATCTGGTGCAGAGGTAGGGGAAAGTGGAAAAATCAAGAAATTGAAGCTCAACCCTCCCTCGATGACACCACAAAGTGGTACGCCGCAAGGATCTCGGGCAGGAAGCCCCGTTCCCTTGAGTAATAGAGGCTTTTCCGGGAGTCGTGCGAGCAGTCCGGAGTCGTTGAGGGGTATGTTTAGATCCATAATGTGTCTTCATGCTTCGCAAAGGTATAGTGCTGACAATTAACTTCCCAAAGGTTCGACGCGCATCTCTACGCCAGGGCCTTCAAGCATCGCCCAAGGCTTCCCTACACCTGCTGAGATTCATGCCGCTATTCCACCGACTGGAATACTAAGCAGCGATTTGCTGAAGATATTCCGTCCTCGTATTGGTGAATCTAAGGAGAACCATAGAAGATTCATAGCGATTGTTAAAGATGTCGGGGTGTATGGAAAGGAAGACCGGCTCCTACGGCCCGGCATCTTGAAGGAAGTTTAGCCTTCGATGATTCTTCGCTCAACTCTGCTTACTACAAGCGTCAATGACTCAATTTATGAAATGCAAAGAATATTACCGTGAACATAATTCCTAGAGATGCTCAGAGCAGACCAGATGAATCATCTGTGTAGCGGGCTCAACTGGACTATGTTATGTTTATCGTTCTTCGCTCTGTGCTTAGAGCAACATAGTTGACATACTTGCAGACACGTGGCAGCTCGAAATGGTCGTTTGAATTGCGATTCTTTGAAGATGAGCTCATCACACCTTGTCTTTTACTATCGTTACCTCTGTAAAGCAGATAAGCTAGTCTCGTGAGAAAGCTTCCTTGACTTTCTATCTATATCTGGCCGTAATACAAGCTATAGACAGAAATTTCCAACATAACAATCCTTGGGGGTTTTGTGGGGCTCAAGGTATTACTACGTAAGAGTTGTTCAGGTTACAAGGGTCCTTTGCTTAGGGGCTCTTAGGAATCATGGTATCTGATCTTGTGTATTGGTAAATAAGATTGAAGTGATTATCGGTTACTACCTTACCCATCGGCTCAGTGAGGTAGCAATAGAAAAAATATAAGCGATATGAGGCACTCGGGTGCGGGCAATATAAAATGATTTCTTAATTCCCTGGTGGTTCTTGATAGTTGAATTGTCGGAGATATTAACATGTGAAGGTAACCTCATTGGATCACGTGGCTAGATTGCTCACGAACGCCGATAGAAGACACGAGGCGTCAATAGCACATCTCTATGAAATAGCTCCCTGGACATGATAATGATCTCTCGGCGCTGGCAAATGATACATCAAAAGCTGGCAGATGATCCACCAATATGTAAGTCTAGTCAAAAAGACATGACTTCTCATTCAGGAACAGGAAAATATAAGCTGGATTAAAGTGGATGACAAGAATAAAGCCTATGTACTATAACAACGTTCTAAATCTCTAGCTTCGACCCGCGCTCTCATTTCCCTCCTCGAATTTGTCCCAGTTGGTCAAGATGTGAGCGATTCTGGGCGAGTTTGTGAGACGGTAGACATCCTCGAAATATTCCTTTGTGATCTCAAATGGCCTTGCTGTAACGTTGGGAATGTATTTTCCAACCAGCTTACTGGGATCAATGGTGGTCTTGTTGATTTTCTTGAGCAGGAATGATCGGAAAGGCTTGACACCAGATCGAAGGAAAGTGCTGTGGAATGGTACGTCGATACCTCTCAGGGGAATGGTGGCGAAGCCACGCTCAAGCGAGATGGGCTTAGGCTTGGATTCTGTTTGCTTCACACACTCGTCAATCATATTGACGAGATGCGACTTGACGTCCTCCAAGGACATGCTTTGCATAAGAGCAGGAATGTCAATGTTTTGGGCCTTAAGGTAGTTGAGTAGGTTTGTGAGACAGTCAAGCGCCCGTAGCTAGTCATGAGGTCAGCAAAGTCGAGCTATCGACGATCAGACGGGGAGACACTTACATCACCAGCAGCAACATATTGCATATTGGCAACATTGTAATTGACAATCTCCAGAAGCCAACCAGTTTGCTCTGAGATATTTTCTACGACATACTGAAGGGCTTGTTCATTGAAGGTCTTGGAGATGCGGCTCGGGTTAACGGCACACATCGAGTAATTTGAGCGACCTTGCTCGTCTCTTTCCACAGCTACCTGCATTGTCAATCCACGATAGAAGACAACTGAAACCAAGCTTTCAATGGGCATGACATCAGCGAGTGCTGCTAGGGCCGAGTATTCACCAAGAGAGTGACCAGCAAAGCTGCTGTCTCTTTGGACAAGCCCCTTAGAACGCATGTCTTCAAAGCTTGCCTTTTCCATTAATGTAAGGGCAGGCTGTGTGAACTGGGTCGCAGAGAGGAGCCCCGACGGTGAGCGGTAAGTATAGGATGTAGTCTCTTCGTCGATTTCCTTGAAGATCTTCTCCGACTTGATAGACCCGTCCGCGTTGACAGTTTCAAAGGTCATTGACATATAATTCTGACGGATCGCTTTACCTCGGGGGCCTCCGAAGTAAACGGTAAGTTCCTTGGGATTGTTCTTGACAATATCGATGATTGACAGACCGTAGTTCTCGATGAAGTGACGATCTGCGCGATCCCAGACCTCTCTTGCAACTGGGCTACTGGCATAGAGTTCCATACCCATTCCCTGCTCCTGGGATCCTTGTCCGGTGAACACGTAGGAAGTAACAGGCTGCTCCACCTCGGCCTCGCCAAGAAGGACCTTCTCTTCGGTTTCTTTGTTACTAGCCTCAACCTTGATGATCTTGCGACCGGCAATCATGCCGACATGCTGCAACTTGACAGTGATGATGTCATTGGGTAGAACCATGCCCACAAGCGAGACATGGAAACCTCTCACGCGCCCAATGTTGTTCTCTGCGGCCCAGGTTTCAACGTAGCTGCGAACGGCAGCGCTTGTGTACATACCATGAGTGATGGTGCCTGGTAATTTGGCATAGCTGGAGAAAACCCGGGACACATGAATGGGGTTGTAGTCGCCCGAGACACGAGCATAGGTCTCGTTGGACGCAGGAGCACGCAAGACCAGCGGAGTCTTGCCGCTAAGGGGGATTGGGTTCTCAAAGTAAACTGGCTGCTCGATGGAAGTACCATTGCGCTGGAGGTAATCAATCACGGGATTTCCATGAGATGTACCTGCCTCATAATCCACAGAAGCCACCTGGATGACCTCCTTCGTCGGCAATTCCAGCAGCACCTGACCTACAGTCTGAACGTTGCTGAAGACGGTCTTGTTCTTGAAGCGAATCAAACTCTGAAGGCGGAAAGTCAAGGTCTGGCCCAGTAGTTCGACATCACTTTCATCCATGCGGAACCACTCTTTCGAGCGGAGAATGGCCACATCTCGGCTCGACGCAAGGTGAACCTGCATAGGCACCTCGTCCTTGCGTTGGAAGGTGTTCTCGAAGTCCACGTAGGCACCACGATACAGGAACTGACTGGTAACATGCATGATCGGCTTGCCATCTCTGAGAATAGTGCCACAGACCTCGACCATCTTGCCGGAGTCTTGGTTGATGACCGAATTGATTTGAGCCGAAGTATCCAGGACGTCCCCGACCTTCAAAGGCTGAGCCCCAGGAACCATTTTAAATCCATTGGATAAGTGAACCAGCTTCAGTAGGTCACCATCGATGGTACGAGGGAAGATAGGTTTGGTGATGGCCTTCCATCCGGCAACGATGGCAAAATCCATGGGGGCGAACACCTCTTTGCCAGGTCGGTCCACGAAAGCCTCACCAGTGTTGCCAACAGCATGAACAAAGTCAGCTACAGCTTGCGACGTGATTGTCTCACGTCCACCGTTGAAAGTGGCAGTCGTCGGTGTATCGAAAGGAACATCCTTGTTGCCAAACCACACACGATAATAGAACTCCTTGATGCGATCGTTGCGGCCTTCCATGACCTCCCTGATGGGTGCGTACCCTGCCTCAGGGTGATACGTGAAGAGGAATGTCAAGGGAACGACAGCAGCCTCCGCGGTCCTACCCTCAAAAAGAGTAAGGCTAATTTGAGTCTTGTCGTTCATCTTTACCTCGACCGTTTTGACCAATTTGCCGGATTGGTAAGGCTCCCGCACGATAATACTCGTCTTGGATGGGTCATTTGGATGCGAGATTTCCACGTACATGCCTGCCACGGGTGCGACTATGCGTTTTAAGGGATTGGCATCGAAACGATGATCCTGAACGAACACGTCTGCCAAGAACAACGCATGTCTCCAGGAATACGCTGAGCCAGCAAGAACACGAAGCCAGCAATCCAGACCAGGCAAGTCAGCCGAGGGAGAAGATGACAAGCGGTAGGTGATCTTGTCACCGTCTTCCGCAATTGTTAAGCCGTCGATATCTTGCTCATCGTCGGTTCTGTCGAACAGTCCCCCAAAGTACTCGATGACAGGCACTTGCGTCTCGTCTCCGTTGTACACGTCCTCAATCAGGCTCTTCACGTGACCCTGATGGATACCGTCCAAGATATCCTGGACAGGCTCGTCAATGATAGTTGAGAACTTGGCAGCCATGGGACCCTGAAGGATACATGTCCTTCCGACGTCCTGGTCCACAACAGCCTCCAAATCCTCGCTCTGCCAAAGAGAGTCTTTCTTGAACCAGTACTCAAAATTCTCATCCAAGGAAGGTACAAAGGGAACGGGCTTCTGTCCCCGACGCTGGCAGAGTAGTAAGAAATGCTGAACGTCCTGGGCGTTGATCAACTGAGTGGCTGCCTCAGGGTAGGCAGCCAGGATGTTGTCAATATTAGGATAGGGAGCATTCAGCTCAGAATAATTTTGAAGAAGAGATGGCTGGCCCTCACTTGTAGTGAAGCGTTCCTCAACACGGCGGATGAAGTCGCCAGTAAGCTTCTTCAGAGACTCATCGATCCATCTTGACTCATGCTTGACATACATGAGATCTACCATGCGGTGGACGACTTCAGTGTAGGTCATATCTTCGAGGTCAACGGTTTCGCCAGCAGCATTGCGGCCGAACCAGACCTTATGGAAATCATCGTTCAGCTTCTTGATAATGTAATTGCGCTGCTTCTTCAGCTCCGGGACGCGCTTGGCCTTGTCCAATTTGAAAATCTTCTGGTCCATCTCGTGCCAGAACAACACACCCCTAGTGGCTAGCTTGTGAATCGGCTCACCCATTTCAGACAGGACGGTAACCACGCCTCCTGCGGCTCCCTTGTATGTCTTCTCCCAATCTTTGTCATCAAGGCCAGGTGCATCGGCGATGGCCTTCTTGGCATTCTTCGAGGTATGAGCCTCTTTGGAGATCATCATGCGGCTGCCAAACAAACAGCCATCGAAAGGCATCGGCGGGTACCCGAAGCCAGATGACCAGGTGCCGGAGAGATAGGGGTAGGTATCCTCGGAGCCACCAAAGCCGCTGCCTGCCACAAGGACAATATTCTCATGACGTCTGATACGGCTGTACATCTGCAGAATCGGCTGATGAAAGTCCTCGAATGAGTGATGACCACCACCACGGCCTCCGGTCCACTGAAGAATGATAGGGAACTTTGGGTTAGCCTTGGCGATATTGATTACCTGTTGGATAGCATCAACGGAGCCCGGCTTGAATGCGATGTGCTTGATCCCCAAAGTCTCGATGTATTCATTTGCCACTTCAATGGACGGAACACCGGCACCAATAGTCAGACCCTCGATCGGCACGCCTTCAGACCTCAACCTACCGACCAAAGGAATCTGCCATGCCATAGCACGGGGATTGACGTAAATCAAGTTGATCGTGATACCACGACCGGGAGGGATGGCCTTTTCGATTTTCGTCACAGCATCAGTCATGGTCTTGGCATTGTAATAACCGCCACCCGCAAGCTCTATATGGTAACCGGCGTTCATTGTAGCAGCAACGAAATCCCAAGCAACAGTGGTGGGTGTCATTCCGGCCACCATGACTGGCGGAATTCCTAGCAGTCGGCTCATCTTGGTGTCCACGAAAGTCTGGCCCATCGCGTTCTTTACGAGACGTGGCCCGTACTCCTTGACCCAATCAATGGCGTACTTAACGGAGTGTTCGTCACGATCGAATAACTCAGGCTTATAACCCACTTCAGCGTTGGTGCCATCCATCGCCCCCGCAAGTACCACACGAACACCGGTTCCATCCTTGTTGCGGTGGGTCAGGACACCCAAGCCCGACATGCCACCGGGTCCGAAGTCAACGATGTGTGTGGCACCAGGGAAGACTGTGGCTTGCTCCCAGTTGACAGCATCATGGGTTATCATGCGAACTAACGCCGGTACGACGTTGGCTTCACTGGTCTTGCGCAGGTCATCACCGGTCTTAGTGCCGTAAACGGGGATGGCTAGTGATCCGGGGGATATCTCCAAGTCCTCCAGATCTTCCAGGATACGGTCATAGGCCGGGTACAAGTACTGGCTATGGAAAGGAGCGGTGATAGGGAGAAATCGGTTGACGAAGCGGACCTTGCGCTGGGTGTAAGGAACACGATTCTGATCCAGACCTGTGGGCGCTTTGACCTTGCGCAGGCGCAGATTAAGACCATACAAAGACAAGGGAGGTCCAGTAACAACAAAATTGCGAGCGCTGTTAATCAAGGAAATAGAAATATGGCGGTCCTCGGGAAGATGCTGGTTGGTCATATCAATGTGTTCCTGCACGGCTGCTCTTGGGAGATCTCGGATAGACAGCATCGGAGTGGGCGCACCCTCTCCATTCTCAATCGAGTCTTGCAGAACCGAGGGCGCAATAGATGTACGCGGATAGGCTTGCTGGCTGCGAAGACCAATCCAGAAAAGCATGGTCAATGCATTTTTAGAAGCCTGCTGGAAACTTTCCCAAGACGTGGCAGAGGCGATTGCCGCTGCAGTGACCACTCCCTGAGAGTGGCCAGTGGTTCCACTGAATCTTTCGAGGACCTCACCGGGTGCTTTACCGAGGACCTTGCAGGTAACAACGAAATGTGCTAGCTGAACCAATCCAATCAACGGCAAGCTGACGGGTGCGGACACAAGATAATCTGTGTCAGGTTGAGAATCCGGGTCCTGGAGCCACTGGATGATGTCCAGTCCTTTAGGGTAAAGCTTGTTGGCCTCGGGCTCACGAGAAAGGGATTGAAGCAACTCGGCAGAGGATGTGATCAGATCATCCACGAACGAGGGGTAGGTGGTATAAACCTCTCTTAACTCATCGAAATATTCTTCGATGTTACCTTGTCCCCCAAAAACTGAATAGATGCTCGCCTTCTCCTCTGACGCGGCTCGGAACAGGGCCGAATCGTAGGGTTTGGTAGGCCGCCCAGCGGCAGCTCTACCGGCATAATAGGCCTTGACAACTAGCACCTTCTTCGAGGTAATGCCGGGAAGGCCAGCAGCAACAGCGTGCACATCATTGCCGCGCATAAAGGCCCGTTCAAATTCGTTCAATGCCAATTTCAAAACCTCCAAGTAGGTGCCCTGGGCATCGTCTTCACCCTCTTCCACCTCCCGTGCAACATGGTCAATGTATCTTGCGACCAGTTCGGCAACCGAGGAGGGTTCATCGTCTTGCGCAAGCTCATCTGTCGGCTGTGGTAATGATGCTGTGAAAGCATCCTTCAATTGCGATGCATGGAAGTGAAGCGACGTCGGGACGAGGAAAGAGAATTCGAGCGAGCCATGAGCCAGAATAAGTGGCCTCAATGACTGTGACGAGCGAGGGGTATTAATGCCCGTTTGTGGGCCGGTAGATGTTCCATACATCCTGTAGTTCTCGTGTCGTTAAAAGTCTATGAGCGAAAGGCTGAAGAAGGCGTTGGGGAGGAAAAATATTAAACGGAAAAGTGCGTAGGTTCTGTTATCGATAAGTATATATCGGGAAATGAAAATTTGTGCCAGGAAGTGAGAGCAGACAATGGAATGAGGGGAGAAAAAGTGTGTATGGGCACATAGTCTGGGTCTTTTTTTTCTTTTTTCTTTCTTGTCTGCTTTGGGTGTGTGTGTTGCCTACCTATTTCTATCAGAATGTGTGAAATAAACCTCAACTCAAGGGAACCACAGCCGGTCCCGTCGTCCAGCACAAGATAGATAGAGGAGGGGCGGCCGCCGGAGGAGGAGGAGTGTAGAAGAGCAAAGACAAGAAAGAGAAGGTTAGAGGAGGAGGAGAGGTATGGGGAAAAAGGTACTACGATATTGGGGAAAGGGAGAAAAGAGAGGGGGGGAGGGGACAGGGGAAGAGCAGAAGGAGAAGGTAGAATAAACAGAAGGGAGTGGGATGGAATTGAAGCCTTGAATGGGCAATCGGAGAGCACGAGAGTGGTTCAGCACCTTGCGGTACTAGTAATAATTTCAGAATCCCGGCGCCGAGATAGGGCGGTTGTGCACACTGTTGAACCGGCTGGGCGGAGGAAGAGATCCGCCGACGTAGGCTGGTTGAATAGGAACTGACCGAATTCGGTATGGTGGGTGGCCGCACCTCCCCAAAACTCTGAAATGGTTGGGCTGGACCTGAAGGCGCGGTGACAATACCTGACCATGTTTGACCATTCCTGACCATTCAACAAGGTTGATGGATTCAGTGATGGTTTAGCAATCACCATCCAATCTTCACCAACAGATACATTGAGTACTTAGTAATGTAGTTACCTGGTAGTATAATGCCTAGTACTACAGTAAATTATTGTAGCATCATATACCCAAGTATCTACTATGCTGCTGAATTCAACCTGTCAGGTCTGACTCAATTGCAACCCTTATGGTGGTTGTGGACCAATCATACACTGTCGTTGTAAGCTGGTTCTTTCCTTTTTTTTTTTGGTCATGTTCCTTTCCATGCTCGTTCTCGGCTCCGAAAGCCTGCTGGAATTCATGCAATGCTTCCGTACCGTATGAAAGTCAACTTCCGCCCCAACACTCACCCAAAAAAACAAAAAAGAAAGTAAGAGAGAAGGGAAGGGGGGGGTGGGGGG